TGTTATGTAAAGAATCATTGATAAGCTTAAGGAAAATTTTAAAAGGATGAGGAGTTCATTTTCTTTGTTTGAAATAATGTTATTTACCTTTCTCCGTGTAAGGGAATTTAGCGACAACGTGTCGTATTGTGCCTTTCACGACAGACATACCAAGGTTGTAGACGTCCCCTGAAAATACACAAATATATATTATACATCTTTCACTTGACTTGTTTTCCAAAATATGTCATCAAAATCGAATTAACAGAAATAGAAGCACCCTTAATTCAATAATAATGTAAAAAAGTGACATATCTAGAAAAAAGAAGGGTAAATATAGAAAAATAAAAATGTGTTCGTTGTCCTACCATTAGGCATGACATGTGGATGTGAGGTGTGGTTGACGAGTGCCACACATTTCGTCATGTTCTTACGCTCCAGAGTGTCCAGGGTAACTGTATCTACCCTGCAAATTATAATAAACATACAATTTTTTTTTTTTAATGACTATAATTTTGTTGATTCCTTAATATGGGAATAGGTCGCATTAAAAACTAAGGTAAAAGTGGCTGTTAACTAAAGAAGTGTTTTTATTGTGATCAATCTGAACAAAATTAAAAAAGACACGATTCCTAACCTCTTATCTGTTGTAACACCGGCTCCCGGTATAAAACACATTATGACCGCAATAGACAAGAGGCTAAATACTAAATTGAATTTAATATTTTTATCCTCTAGATGTGCTAACAATATCTCCTAGTCATTCAACGAATGGTCTACAATGGACTTGAAAATTACGTGTTGTAACAGTTTTTACGTATTATTATGCTCAAACCACGTAATTAATTTTATATGATCTTATCTCAAATTATACATTTTGATATAAACTGTCCTACCTCAACACAAGTCTACATAGTTTGAATGAGACCTAAAAAAATAGACGTTCTCAGCCAAGATCGAGGTCAAATGAGGTTAAACTTTATCCGTAGTCTAGATAGGTCAGACTTTTTTACTTGATATTTATTTTTTGCTAAATTCGTGTCATTTGATTAGACAACATGATTATACAAATGTGTAACACAGATTGTTCATTGTTTTTATTTTAATAAAAATTAAATATATTGTCTTGAATGCAGCTAAGTGCTATATTGGGAAAAACATATCTAGTTAGTTGTATTTCATTAGAATTATCAACGGAAATGGGTCAAAGACCTGGCAAAACTCCAGACTTTCTCAATCTGGTTTCAATTTATTAATTTGGCACAGTTGCCAGACCTTAAATACAAAGACAATTGGGATGATGACAAGGTATGAAAATTAAAAATGTAATTAGTCCGTAAGTTAGGTAATGAAAAAATATAAGACACGTATTTTTTTATTTTGTCGTATAATAAAACAATACTTAGATAAAACGAATCAAAGTTTAGGAGTGGGGGCTAAAACGTTATTTCTTTGTATAATATGTACATAGAAGTGACGTCACGCGATATTTTTAATCAATATATCGTCGAAAGTATTCGTTTCTGTAAGAAAATAAAAAATACGTGTCTAATGATTTAAAATAATCTACCAGACGGACATTAAAACAAAAATTAGGCATCTACCCTATTGTAGACACTATTGCATTCAAAATAATATAGGATATAAACTAATGACAAATTCAGGTAGGTACCTTACTGAACTTTAACATAAGTACAACCTGGTCCAATATTCAATCCAGTATTAAGTCATTCTACTCTTGTCCAAAGGCGTACAAAGGTAGCCAATAAATAAACAATTAAAAACTCCGTCAGGATTTTTTTTTTATAGTAATAGTATATTATTATTAAACACGAGTCCACGTGTAGCCTTATTGAAAAAAGAAAAAAATAATAAAATTCCCTGTCAAATTGATGTTACATTTATTAGACATAAATTAAGTAGAGTCAAATATTTGGTTTAGGTTTCATTTTAGTAGATGTTTTATTATGTTTGTTTTATTATGTTAGGTACCTACGTGTGAACGACCTCATCTTTAGTATGTATTTAAGTAACCTTATCTTGATAACCTACTTTAATAAAAAAGCAAAAAGTTCACAATGGAATGAATATAATTGTACCAGGTACCCATGTAGGTATGATGATACATATAAACCTATGCAGGTGCTTAAGTTTTGCGTTCGTATTACCTATAATAGCAACCAAACTTCAAACAATGGTAGATCGAGTTCATTGACCTTCGTAATGAAATTGGTTTAAGTACTAGGTTTACTTTAGTCTGATATATGGAGCAATCAGACCAATAGCCAAACTGACGATATGTACCTGTCTATTATTGTGAACGTAGTACCCTAGTAGCTACAACATTTAGGCACATACTTAATCTACTAAGTCACGCCTACCACTCATTGCGGTAAGCAGAGACAACGAAACCGCAAATGACATGTTGCCTGCATACTCTCAATCTATTTGTGTTACATTTTATTCATATATGTTATTATCAGGATTAACAACTTATGACAGTCCATTACTGAACTTAATTCTACTATGACTGAACTCTGGCTCGCCTCTACATCACATTTTTAAGTCCGAAGCCGTAGCCATGGGCTAGGTACTTACTGGACGAAGCAAAAAGGAGGGAATATCAAACTCTTACTGACTACAAAACAACTCAGTTTCAATTCCTCCCATACCTGGGTGCTTACTCTTGAAACCAATTTCAATGTCAATGTAATTTCAATCCAATAAAATCTCAATAATTATTCAATGTCAAAAATATACAACCCTTAAAGGCTGTTAAAGTAGTATTCAGAGTACAGAATATAAAGACAAACTCAATACCATTTAGTTCATCAAATATCCACGCAATACGGATGCAATGGGCGCTAGTGTTGCAGCTCAAGAGTACGAAATTTCACAATACCAATGTCGATCGATCGAAATTGTATTAAATAGTAAGCCCCCTGGACTACGATAAATTAAATGTCCACGTTTGACATACAGATAAATACTTATTTTTTTTCTTACCTGTGTATGATAGGTCCTTCGGTGAATGCGTATACTTCATCACCAAATGGGTACACTGATATCATCGCATTATCTGACATGTGCTCCGCGGGATTGAAGAATGCTGCTACCCTGTGAACATGTTGAGTAATATCAAAATTAACAATTGAAAGTTGTTATAAAAAAGGTCATATTCTTGAGACATGTATAAGATGCACAAGTCTTCTTCAAGTATTAGGGTCTTCATTACATAGAAGGGGTTTGTAATCCATAATCTACATCTACACGCTCAGTGTGCGCGTTGACGATAGCAATTTAAAAAGTTTAGATAATCTATCATCTACATACCTATATAAAAATAAATCCCTTTATCCCTTGGTCACGGCATCATGCGTGAATGCCTGGACCGATTTTACTAATTCTTTTTTTTTGTTGTATCTGTTATTATTAGGAGAAGGTTCTTGAGACAAAAAAAATCCTGAAACTCCTACGGGAACGGGAGAAAAAGGGATTGCGCGTACGAAGTCGAGGGCGGAAGCTAGCAGATTATAAAGCGCTGCTGCCCGGTCCCTATCCAATGTTATGTCGCTTCCCATCTTAATATTATCTAGTTTATTCTAACATATCAAACATCATAAAGATCACCTCAATTTTATTCTACTTGTAGGTACTGAATAAAGTTCAATAAGACTTTTACAGAACACTTGATATTCTATTTTTAGCTCGTATTCTTCGTGAGTGGCTACGATAGATAATCGGCTTACAGTCTATTGTACTATGTCTGTACTTAGAAACAATTTCATTACATTCTACGGCAATTTACTTCGAGGCTTAATTTATTAACACTTGAGTCATACGTCATCGTCCGACATCTTTAGTAGGCTATTGTTGTTCGTGCAAAAAAGATCAACTTATTTTCTTCCATATATCGTTTTTTTAAGAGAAAATAAATCATATAAGTAACAAAAAATATCGAAATAACGCGTTCATTTAAGGAGAAATATTAATTATAAAATCCTATGACTCCTGTGGTGTTGCGTCCATGAGCGGCGCTGATCGATTACCATCAGATGATCCGTACGCCCGATTGCCTCCTATTCCTTAAAAAAATCACTAGGTATCTAATTCCGAAACAAAACTTTACTTATTCTTAAACCGTTAGTTATCCTTTAAGGAGTAACGAACTATATTTTATTTACTGTGTATGGTAAATTCTCATAATTCATATGTTACCTTCTCATCTAAAAGACTTAAGGTACAGTCACATAGGCTAATTTCTAGTACGAGAGCTCTCTTCAATGGAGCACTTGTCACATATAGCATGTGTCGGAATGTTGCTTAGAATTAGCATGCTCATTTCAGGCATGTTTGCGAATTGGGATGATGATAGGGTATGAAAATTAAAAATCTAATAACACCGTAAGTTAGGTAATTAAAAAATATTAGACACGTACTTTTTTATTTTCTCGTATAATAAAACAATACTTAGATAAAACGAATCAAAGTGGGGGCTAAAACATCATTTCTACGTATAAAATATACATAGAAGTGACGTCACGCGACATTTCAAATCAATATATCGTCGAAAGTCTTCGTTTCTGTAAGAAAATAAAAAATATGTGTCTAATGATTTAAAATATTCTACCAAACGGACATTAAAATAAAAAACAGGCATCTATGCTATTGACAGAAGTTCGATTTTTGAAAATTTTTAAGCTTGCTAAATAGAACACCAAGTAGCGTGGTATTTGAGAGCATTATGTATGTCCCTATATTTACCTGTCGAATATTGAATGGCAAGGGTCAGGCGCGGACTTGGTACCGAACTCCGACACTATGATGCGGTTGGCTGCTCTATTCTTCTTCAACGTATTCGTGCGTAGGAACCGACACTGGTATGTCACGTGACCGTCGTCTATCGCGAACCTGGATGAGGAATATGTTGTTATTTGCCCTCTGATTTCCTATTACAAAATCTTATTTTATCTCTCTTGTAATTAATGCAGTTTCCACTACTTGGCACAAATAATGTGTAATAAAGTACCGTAAAATGGGGTGGTTAGGGATCGAAAGGTGAATAGAGACAAAAGAGGGGTGAATAGATATTGGGAAATTGTTCATAGTATCGATTTTTTTTATGACCTATAAACGAGTAAACGAGCCGACGGAACACCTGATGGTAAACAATCGGCGTCGCCCATGGACACCTGGAACACCAGAGGCGTTACCGGCCTTTTGGGGATTAGGAGTTTGAGGATCGTTGGGGATTCAGGAATTGGGGAGATTGGGGAAGGAGAGGGTAATTGGGCCCTTTACCGCTCTTCTGTCTCTATTCACCTCTCAATTCCTATTCACCCCATTTTACCGTTAGTAATTGATTTTCATTAATTACTTTACCTGTGCAGAAGTGCGGAACTGTCGAAAAGGTGATCGAACCGCATATCTCCGACCTTCAGGGAACCTGGGCCATTTCGTAGTAATGTGCCACGGAGCCATTTCGGTACCTCACCTGCGAAAAATGGTATAAATCAATAAACGCAACGAGTTATTACGGTGTTTTTTTTATTTTGTTCAATGTATATTTTATTTGTTAAACTTTAGTTTAATAAAACTATGGACAGATGGACTACCAGTTTATTATAATAAACAACGTGATGCATTTGTGCAATGAAGAACCAGCAACCGTAACCAAGGTTATTCAATCTACGTGTAATCGTTAATCTATAGAAAATGAGACCAATATGTGGGATTCGTAAATTCCTTTAAACTGTCAAACACCGCGAGGACACCGGTGACCGCAACCTATTGTTCTTAAATTGTGTCTATAATGACGGTGCTCGACGAGTTAAATGTAAATCACTTCACTAGTCGATTCCAGTGAAAATCCCTTAAGGTATATTTATTTAATTTTCTATTGTTAGGTATCGTTAGCAAAATGTAGGTACCAACTCGGCTAAGGCCACTGTCATACACATACCAAGAAAAGTACTCAGAAATAATTTTGCCTACCAGAAGATTTATTATGAAAAACGCAATACCTAGAATTTTCTTGGAAAACGGTAAAGTCAATAAATAATTGACGAGAGTAATAAAAAATTTTCTGTGAAGTTACCTGGTATCTATCGTAGTAAAATTTTTATTACCGAATGATATAAGCAATAATATTCCTAGTAATTCGGAATTCCATTCCAAGAATATAATTTGTATACAGTTTACCTACGTTAGCGAGATCGTGCAAAGCAAACTAGCGTAGAGTTAATACTTGTCTTATTTCAGTTATTTTTGCCGCACAGACGGTGTTAATCAAAGTTATGGTAGCAATAAAATGCTTTGGGAAAACTATTTATAGAACTATAGCTCTATTTAATTTTGCTTTAAGTGCTATAGTTGCGAGGCAGTGTTTGTATTTAGGGCTTGTCTCTGTCTCGGATAATCGAAACCGAAGGTCATTGCCGAAGATTGTATGTACAAGGGAACTTTCATTGTGCCTTTACGTCGTTAGTGCACACAAGAAGGTGTGTTCCAAAGTTTTATTGAGATTTTGATTAACTTGTCGCGCAGCCTACTGATCATCGCCTACATCGCCGTGACCGCGCACGCTGCTCACGAGGAACCCCTCTGTGGTTCGAAACTAGTAGAGCTTTTAGTATATTACTCAGTATATTCACGAGAGTAACCCGCGATTTTGATTTGATTTTGATTGTGACATTTTCAGTCACTAATAAGTAGGTTCTGAGATTCAAAATAGAGCAGTTGGCACGCAGAAGCAATGTAGCTGTAGACTACCATGATAAAATTAAAAAGGTCACAAAAACATATCTAGCCATTTTAATAAGAACTGTGAAATAATTCCTAACGAGAACAGCGATAGCAATAAAAATTAGCTGAAAAGCTATTTATAGGATTCGACCTTATTTATAAGATAACATAACATCACGCCTTTTATCTCCGAAGGGGTAGGCAGAGATGTATCACCCACTTTTCACTATCTATGTTATGAGTACGATGTAGTAGTGGTGAGCCTATTGCTATATACCGGGCACAATTCCAGACGCCGTGCTACTACTAAGATTTAAAAAAAACCAGTAGTACTTTGCCCGACCCGGGAATCGAACCCGAGACCCCTTGCCCGGCAGTCGCACTTGCGACCAGTCGGCCAACGAAGCCAGACTTTATTTATTTTGGGAATAAATAGATGTGCTCAAATAACTCTGTGGTTGACTTTGTGTGTGTGAATATGTGTATTCTGCCGTGGTATAACTATAATGCCGTTATCTGCGAAAGTCATTTTTTTTAATAATGCAAAAAAACGGCGGCAAATTTTCAAACCGATGTAATTTTTCGATGATAACACATATCAGAGATTTGGAAGTACCAAAACATATATGAAATCGCATACTTTCGAACTACTTATCCTATCATATCGTAAATATAATTTAATTTAATGAAAAGCGTTTTTTTGTGTTTTTGTTCATCAGAGACGTAACCGAAATCTTAACAGATCATCGACTAAAACGCCGCTGCGTAAAGCGTAACGGCGTTTAAGTATATCTATTTCATAGCAAATTATTGATTTTTAAAATGCAAAATTTCATCACTTCAATGATTAACTAAAATGTTGTTATTTGCGCATAACGGCAATTTAGCTTACGATTAATATATTATAGAACTATTCATGTTAAACTTTAGTGCGTTTAACGTTACTTTACTGCTTTTAAGTCTGGTAACCTTTAGATGCGTATTAATTAAAAGGATAAACTTGAATCCTTGTTTAGCTAAAATGTGGTTTAACTAAAAACCTTACAGTTTAACGACATTATAGCTTAATAATAAAAAAAAATAGTGAATAATTTTATTGGACAAAATGAATTAAATTTATTGATATTAAAGATAATGTTTAAATAAAAGTCATAGTATTATCAATCAACTAGTCTTTATTGACTATATTTCTTTATTGCTTTTATAATAATATGCAAATTATGCTTAAACTAATAACTTTCACAAAACTTTACTTATAATTAGATTTTTTAGGAACTTTCAAACAAGAATCACATCAGTTATTTAGCAATATAATTATGTACTACTTGTACTTTAAAATAAGATAACATAAAACAAAATTTTTATATACTAACTTCATTCTTTCATTAAACCTGAGATAACAAACAATCAAAACTAAGTCTAATCTTCTCCTTGAACTTAAAACTTTATATTTCTAGTACTTATCATTTAAAAAAAAATCATCAACAGCTGAAAAACAAAAACGAAAAACAATTTTCCTTATTTAAATTTTAGTTCTTACTTTTTACCTACGTTTATTAAAACCTTAAAATTTATAAAATTTATAAATTCTTAAAAACACAGTATTCAAAATCGTATCACAGTTACATTACAAAATTTAAAATAATTATTTAGTTGAAATCAGTCTCAATAAACTGGCACTACTCTATATTATTATTCTAATCAGGACTTGTACCGGAATGCTCAATTTCTCTTGTTGGTAAGTTTTTCCAAAATAACAATTTATGAGGGGGAATTATGTTCGATAGGTTTTTAAGTAAATCTGCTTTCCTCTTAGGTTCGATACCTTTCGGTTCGGTTCTAAATTTAAATACCATTGTACGTGGGTTTTTTAAATATCTATCGTTCATGAAACGAAGAGTTGTATATGATGCATCATCGAAATTATTTTTATACATAAGATCATAACTTTTACGTACGAAACATACCTCAACTATATTTTTTAAATAAGCTCTTGGATTGGATGTTTGAATCCTTCTTTGGGACACGTAGTTAGGTATATTTAAAAAGTTTTCTGGCAACATAGACTGAACGATCACTTTTGATTTATTTATGGATGATACACACTCTTCGAAATCTGTAAAATCGTAAAGCTTACCCTTTTTCTTCATAGCTAACTCTACCTGGTGATGTACTTGATCGCAGCTCATAAAAGTGTGGCCGGGTTCGAAGTAATATAGATTTATTCTCTGTGTGGCAATATCTTCACTATTAATCATATGAGTGAGCATCGCATACAACAACCAATTTTTATTTTGTGAGCTACATTTATCAAGCTAGATGTGTACTTTTTCAACATCTCTGTTACGCAATAGAAAATTATAAAATGCTGACATTATATCTTCTTAGATTTGGGTTGTTTCGGTTTTTTCATATCCTGAGCAGGGTCAGGTTTTCTTGTAGGTTTGGTTTGGTTTGGTTTTTCCTCCTTAACCATACCTAAAATAGTTTTGGCTCTGCTCCCAGAGTTTCTGTAACAAGAAAATAAATTGTTGAGTGTGTGTACCTACCTAAGTAAATGTATGTAAATGTTTAAGCAACTATCTCATGAACATATTATAACAAGATCATGCCCGACAACATGATCATCTGAACATATAATAATGCGATAAAAAATAATATAGATCCCGTTTTCTCCTGTTCCTGTAGGTATTTCAGGATTTTTTATGCATTAAGAACCTTCTCCTGACAATAACAAACAACAAAAAGATCAGCCAAATCGGTCTAGCCGTTCTCAAGTTATGGCGCGACAACGGGAAGCGGGTTTCATTTTTATATATACCTATAGATAATATAAGTAGGATTTACTATTTTGTATGTTTATATCAATAAAAGTGCAAAAGTAAAGTAGGTACCTTACCTATTCATAATAAACTCAACATTATTCTGAACTAAAGTAAATAAAAACTAACTTACCTAAATTGGTGGTTCGCCATATCGCGATCGTTGCAAAATTGGCGGGAACAAACCCGGAGCGCACGCGTCCTCACCCACAAGCTCCCGGCGATGCACTAGTTTCACCCCCGCCCCTTGATTTCGGTACAGGATCGTTACGTAGCCGGTGTCCCCCCGCCCCGCGCGAGATCAGTTAACGGCTTTGTAGTGTATTAGTGTGAGATAACGTCATTTTAGTCTAATAATGACGGACAATACATTTTTTATTAGTTTTGTAAGTGCCGTTATAGGCTTCTACGTACGTTAAATCAAAATACGAGTTCCTCAAAAATAAGCAATAATGCCGTTAAACATCGTTAGTCAAGTTTAAGTATATCATTTTCGATTAACGACGTTATAGTTTAAAAAAAGCGAACTCCTTTATTGAAAAAAAAAATCCTATAAAACAGTTACAGTACCTTAACTGCTTTGTAGTGTACAATAGACTCCTAACGGCAATTAAGACAAGTAACCATATATACTTTTTATAATAAAAATATGTGTAAATGAACCTTAGCGGCTTTATAGACTCATAAAGTTACTTAATGTCATTTTTGCTTATTTCGCACGTGACAAATATGTACTTAACGACATTTTTTAAATTATTATTTTCAAAACTATTCAAGATATCGAAAATTCGTAAACACAGATCGATAGGTTTTTTTTTTCTCATTAATATAGCATCAAAAGTTGAGAATCGACCAGATGTTGGATAACGGCATTTTAGTTATACTACGGCAGTATTTGTGTTAGTGTTGTGATAGTGACTAAGCGTATGAAAGTATTTTAACCTGGTGTCCTAGTAGACCGTGTATGCGATCTTTCAATCACATGATTATACCTCTAGGTACATTGGAGGAAGTTGGTATTTCTGTTAAATTCACAATAAAGCACATCGGACCACTTAGTACGAATAAGTACGTACGTAATAAAATGAACATATAATAGTTACGGTAGTTGACAGGTACTCAAATTCAATACTTTTATTGAAATATCAAAAACGATTCTTTTCTATGAATTTTGTATTGTATTGCAACTTATGACGTCATCATATTTCTTCGTCAATTAGCATACAGAGGCCTTAGTACAAGTTTGTTTTACGGTTAAAGTATTCGAAACGAGTACGCGTTCGGCGTTCTGATTGGTTGTTTCATTCGAGCCGGAAATCAGTGAGAAAAAATCCAAAAGTAGGTAAATTGTCAAATCAATGGAATTTTTTAATTCTCTATTGCATTGAAAAGTTGAAAAAATTTTATACCTAGGAAACTAGCCTATTACATCTATGTAAAAGCTGTGTCGTTATTCTGATGGCGTAGTACAAGTTTATTTTACGTTAAAAGTAATCGAAACGAGACCGCGTTCGGCGCTGTCATTGGTTGCTTCATTAGAACCAGCCAATCAGAGCGCCGAACGCGCATATGAACGTAAAACAAACTAAGGCCTCTAATATTACACGTACCCGTGAAACAGGGAAAAATCCTAATGTGAAGATAGTATTTTTTTTATTTCACGTCTTGACGGAATATAACAACATCGATCATTAATCCCGCGATGATCAGCCACGGTCTACTAAGACAGCCTAAGGTTAGCCTAGCTAAAAAAAGCTTATCTTTTGCATTTAATGGACACATGTGCTTCACACCATTCCATTTTACCTTTCTGTATGGAATAGAGTAGTAGACAGTGTATGAAAATTTAAAATGCAATTAGTCCGACAGTTAGATAATGATAAAATTTTAGATATATATTTTTTTATTTTTTCGTATTTTTTTTTAGAGGGGGGAAGTCATCGTATGACTGCTCCCGCCTGGGTGAGGCGGGAGGGAGTGTCAGACTCTTACTGACTAAAAACCACCCCGTTCCTTCTCCTGCACGTCGAGTCGGAGCCCCGGTTACCCGTTAGGTTCTTCGCGACTATTTCGTCGTATAGGAAAACATATTTAGATAAAACGGAGTTAAGTTTAAGAGGTCGTTACGTCACGCTACCCTATAAAATGTAGTAGATCGTGACGTCATAATATGATATTTTAAATCAATATATCGTTGAAAGTATTTAATTTTGTACGAAAGGAAAAAATATATATCTAATGTTTTAAAGTAATCTACCAGGCAGACTTTAAAAAAAATTAGTGCACTACCCTATTGACGGCAACTATTTAGAATTTTATAATTAAGCGACCATAAAAGACCTCTCCATTATATTTCTCCTTTTCTTTCTTTCATTCTTTAAAAGTGTCTTAATAATTTTATAAATGCGTTGTGACTATATTTTCAAACATAATACATACTTGGACCTAAAAGCATTTGTGCACAAATTATTGGAAGGTGGGATTGGAATCCGATTCACCCTGCGCAACAACTGGTCGTTATGTTCTTATGCAACTGCTGAGGTCCTTCTTGATTTATTTATTACAATAATAAAAAAGATCCTTACCGCAGAATACGTAAGTTTACCTTTCGAGGTTTCTAGTAAAATAAAATAAAATATTAATACTGACCTGTAATCATCCCTTCCAGAGGTTCAGACACCTCCTCCTCACAAGATCGGAGCCAAACGGTCGCATCACAATTAGGATACAACTTCTCTTCAATGGCTGCCATATTTGTTATGCTAGAACTACACAGTTTATTTATATCATGCGGTCAAAACATACACGACAATCACTTAACGTCCGTTTTTTTATTTGTTATCTGTAGTCTTTTTGGTTGAGTAAAATTATAAATAGAGACCTATAAAGCCATTTATCGATGTTTCGTAAAAAAAAAAGCTAAAAGTAAAAACGTTCTCAATTTAAATTTTTTACTTTTTTTTTTAAACAGGCCCTTCGAACTTTTTTATATAGTTGGTGATTTTTGTTTTGTTTGCCGGACAATATTTTTGGAAAATGCTATGAAAGTATATTATTTTATATTACCAGAAGCATGCAATTATTATTCATTTTTAATAACCACATACCTATCAAAAAGAATATTAATTAACATAATTTTTTTTTATTAATTACATTCCATACCTATCCATTTTACACTAAAAATCAACGTACTTGCGTAACAAAAATTCAGTAGACAGAATATTAGAAACGCACTTACAAGGTTATATAAAAAAAATACAAAATCAAAAGAAAACCCCTTAAACGTGATACGTTCAGCCGGCGACCAACAGTTCGATAATTTTCACAACAACCATGACCTTGAACGGACGCACCCGAATATAATCGTACTTACATCAACAGCACAGAACACGAGATCTTCAAATATTTAAACTTGGAATATCGAAACACAGATAATGTGAAAATAGAATATTATTTCGCGTATTGTAAGACGCGAGTGGTGTCGATAGACGTATTGTGCAGACTGTAGGGGTGTACTTAGGACAGACTCCCCGTCACGAAGGCGACCTTGACAGTAGCTGCGCGGTTAGACGCCTACGGCTCGTAGAACAACAATGCATTATGCCAGACCAAAACGGGATTTATATTCAAAATTGCCGAAATACAGATTATGTACAACACGCTTACGTTACACGCGGTGGCACTCGTGCGTCATATTTGATTTTTTTATTGTTTTTTTTTCTATGGGTAAAAATTATAAACTGTAAATATTTTAGATCTGTTTCTTGTGGGAATACATTGTTTTGTCTGTTATTTAAACTATGCTCTATAAGATTTTATTAATTAATATTAAACATAATAAATATTAATATGAAATATTTAGATAATAAATATGTTTCTATGGTTAGACTAAATTTAAATAAATATTATAAATACAGATAACAAAAAACTAAAATATGTACACCTTAAAATAAAAGAATGACAATAAATCAGAAGTCAAATAAGTAATTATTTTAATCCTGTATGAAAAATAAAACATTCAGTAGTACATCTGTGCGTAAGTCTGTTTATGATGCAATTTTACTCAGTAGACACGGCGACACATCAACCTATACAAAACCAGTTTATCCTGGTGTCGCGTCGCATCATCTTTCCGCACATTTAACGTTCAGTTTATACTGGTTATGTAAAGCTCGATGTGTAGCCGTGTACCCGTAGATACGCATACATACTGGCATGTAGGTAGTATGTATGCGTATCTACGGATTAAGATTACTTATTGTAAACTGCATTACCTTATCACAACGATTAGCATAATTTAGAAAGATTCGAATACATTTATAGCATTACATTCGTTATAAAAATATTTAATTACGTAGATATTTGTTTTGTAAATCACTGGTGTTTCAAATGAATGACATAAGTAGGAAAATAGTTGGGAAAATCCGAAACAAATAAATAACAAATGACTAAATTATAATCTTCCTGTACCTACACCACTTAAAATGTATTCATTATATAATATTATGTAAGTATAAATATTATTCGACGAATAAAAATAAAAACACAACAAAAAATAAGAGACCTAAGTAGGTACACACGGCTACACATCGAGCTTTACATAACCAGTATAAACTGAACGTTAAATGTGCGGAAAGATGATGCGACGCGACACCAGGATACACTGGTTTTGTATAGATTGATATGTGGCCGTCTGTACCTAGTAGAACTAACATTATGTAACAATCGTGTAGTTTAGGTATTACAATTATCTGAAATTGGCAAACATATGGCAATATACATAACAATAAAAAAACGATTAAAATATGCACCTAATTGCCGTTATAAAGTACATACCTTATTATAAGTATTGATATAAACTTATTGTACTTACATAATATTTTCAATTCGAATTTTATCTGTTATCGTAAAGATTAATCCTTCGAAGGGAAAAAGGTTAAAACAAACTAGAATATTAAACTATTCAAATTGTTAATCAATTTAAAAACGTACACACAATTAATATTAAAAAATTCAATTCAATTTCCACATCATGTATCAATAAACTTTTCGCGCTAACTATAACGTATGTCAAATTAAAAAAAAATAAAATCCAGCCAGTAACTTTATAAAGGTGCTACTACGGACGTAATAAAACCTCTTCTACGAAATTAAACATTTAAAATCAAATAAGTATTAATATAATTAACTACACGTGTTTTAATAATTATAATTCTCAACTAATACGACATGATATAAATAACAGCTATTCATTTTTGCCCTAGGGAATTAATTCATTGCAAAAGTATTAATATTCAGTTGATCATGGTGACCTGATAAAAATAATAAGCTCGTGTTTGGCATAATCTTAAGGTTTATCAGTAGGTACTATAGGTGGAGGAACACCGCTTGGTAATTTAGAAAAATCAAGTATTTAATAAGCGAATCCCTACCTTTTCTCTAACGGAACAAAGATCATTTTATATAATGAACATTTTATTTACAGCCGACTGGGATTTATTTATTTATTGGAGATTGGAGACCAGTATCTATCAACAAAATTTGTCTGCTAGAAGTTTAAAAGTCTCAAAACAAGTAAATAACGGTGTCAATACTGTCCACACTACATCAGAAGCCTACAAAGGATGGTATTGAGTTCAAATACAGATAAAACTATTTCTAGAACCCTATTTCCTAAAGTACTTAGTTACTATCTGGAAATTCAATCTATCTAAGCCATTCTATGAGATGTCAATTCGAACTCTCGAAGTGAGCTCGACCGCATTCTCGCCCGTCATTGGTCGAGATTATTCTAACAACCAATGACATGGCGGACCGCGATCGAGCTCACTTCGAACGCACGAATTGACATTTCTTCATACTTCGTAGTAGTCTTCAGTGGACCCATGATACAATTACAAGATAAAGTTTTAGGTAATTACGAATAATTATAACGATAACATTATTTGTTTATGTAACCCGTTTAATAAATTATATTGTTGATGTGCACTATTGTTTATAATATGAGAATTTAATTGTCACTTATTACCTAATTAAAATACAATTGCATCATTTTGTGAACTATAAACTATTTATAAATAATTTAAACTAAGTAGGGACAAGATGTCGTATTCACAAATGTCGTGGTGGCCCGGAGGTTTAAGTGCCCTCTTGTCATGCATGAGGATACGGGTTCGAAACCTACCAACAGCAAGTACCAATGTGACTTTTTCCCAATTATAAGTACTTTCTAAGATTATCTAGACACCACTGACAAACAGTGAAGGAAACGGTGAACATCGTAAGAAAACCTGGGCTTATAATTTCTAATTATAATGAGCAAGCGTGGTGATTAATGCTCAAACCTTCTCCGTGTGAGCAGAGGCTTTGCTCAGCAGTGGGCATTTATAGGCTGTTGATGGGGTACAAGATATGTTTTATTGTAATAATTAGATGTTTTATTGCAATCTTAATAAAAACGGTTTCTCCAAAATCTATCTATATAAATAAAAATGAATTTCCGTTCGTTAGTCTCGCTAAAACTCGGGAACTGCTGAACCGATTCGGCTTCGATGTTCATCCAGGGAAGGTTTAAAAGATGAGAAATCAGGCGGGGGAAAAAAAGAGAAATTAGTTTAGTTAAATTAGTTATTTAGTAAATCATATTTTGTGTGACTATGAAACCGATGGCTCAGAAATATAATGACGTCATAAGTTGCGATCTAATACAAAATTCATACAAAAGTATAGTTTTTGACATTTCAATGAAAGTATTGAATTTGACTACCTGTCAACTACCGCATTATGTAGGTAGGTAGAGAAAAACCATAAAGTATTAAATATTCTAAGGTACAAACTAAAGATAAACTAGATAATAGCCTCCTCATCTATAAATAGCAAGAGCTATATCGATCGAAGACTCCATCCCACACCCTTTGATAATATGATGCCAACATATTCTTATGGCTTCTGTATTTACGTTGTATTAAGAAAATACATCAATTCGAATTAGTTAATACTTCATACTAAGATTAAATATACTGTTACAAATGCTAATTTGAAGAACGAAAGCTTTCTTCAATGGAGCACTTGTCACATTGTAACATGTGTATCGGAATATTGCTCAAAATTAGAATGCATTTCGGCGATATTTGCGAATCGACAGGCGTTCTATATTTGAACATTTTTTTTAAGTATGCTCAATAGAAGGCCTATAAGCATGTTATTTTAGAATATGTGTACATACCTTTAAGTTTAATTGAAGCAAGTATGTAACTTAAACTTAAAACCTAACTAATTAAAATATACAAATATAGTAGGAAAAATAAAAAAGATGTTGCAATTATTATTTTTTCGGTATCTTCCTGTGATGATAATAATACATTTCATTTTAATGCACTGTTAAAAATGATCATAAAATCTAGGTGAAGACGAATAACCACGAATTAAAAAACGTTTACAAGGTTAAGGTTCATAGTAATATAATATGAAATATCAGACAATTAATGTCCAATGTGTAATAACAATTGGGTATTGTATGGTGAATATTACCCAATTTTATACATAAAAGTCCTGTTCTATCATTAACGAATACAACCAAAAACGTGTCCAATTGATTGAAGTCTTTTAAAAGCTATATTTCTACCAAACATTTTATTTATTCATATTAGTTTAAAGTACCATACATCAATGATATAGATATACAAGAAATACGGTATAAATATAACGGGATGAAAGTGGTTGGCATTCGCATCGATCCTGACTGTGACATTGAAACTCGAGCTCCCGGGGGCACTGTATCTACTCGTCTCAGGTTTGGGTTAAACACAAGCGATAGCGGATGGTAAAATGAATACGATTATGACCGATTTAAATTCGGAAAACCCAATAACACTTTGCCCGACTTGGAAATTGATAAGTAATAAATCAACCAAGTTCAAAAATATGTTTTTATAATAAATTTCGTGAGTGAGTTACTCACGTGAAAATATTGAGAAAAACTCAACTAATTTCGAACTACAGAGGGGTTCTTCCTCATGAGTAGGCGTGTGTGGTCGCAGGTGCATAACCGGCGATTTTTAGTTAATTTGAAGCTATAAATTAATTCATCATTTTATTTATCATCACATTAATAAAAATATCGTCATCATCATGATAATCGTATCGGCCACAATACGTCCACTGCTCAACATAGGCCTGCCCCAATGACTTCCAAATAGGCCGGCTATATTACGTAGGTATTAAAGATATCGATAAAACTCATAAACACAATTTATTAATTTAAAACGTGTTTTAGGTTACATTACACAAATTATTTCGTAGCGGTCGTAGCGCAGCCGACGTGTCGTAGACTCGTAGCAGATAAGACTATACATGTTTTGTAGAAATCTTTTGCTTCTTACTTCACTCCAAACGACTGTTATATTTTTTCTTACAATTTCACATTTGTATGAAAAATAAACCTGTAAAATAATAAATAAATAAATAATAAACAAAAATGTTTATTTCAAAAAGGAAAAGTTTTACAATTTTGTTGTATCCTGGACCTCACACTAGGATTCCCTGTGTCGTGAGGCCCAGGCTCCC